AAATGTATACAGGAAATTTCATACTATAGTTGCTAAAATCCAACGTGCTTTTAATTCCTTTTTTTGTGAGTTTGTCGATTCAGTCACCCACGATAGGTGACGTTTACTCGAAGTAACTAGCTAATGAAATCAAGATGACAATTGTTAATTTTAATTAAATTTACTTTCTGCTATCATTCTTGAACATGTATCGAGGAATACCAGTCTTGAAGTAGGCGTTTTATCAATTTACACCTTAGTTCCTGACCGTATTGAGCAAACCATGGAAGACCTAAGAGTAGGATCGGTAATAGTCAAACCGACTATTTCAGTGTCATTTTAGATTGGCAGTTTTTCGATTTTAGACTTGGAGAGGGATCATGGTAGTTGTTTCGCACGATCAAGCCTTTCTCAATGCCATCGCAACGGATACAATCCATCTCACTGCGAAGCGGCTGGATGTCTATCGTGGTGACTATGACGCCTTCGTGAGGGCTCGTGAGGAAAGACTGCTCAACGAGGAACGCGAGTACCTGGCGCAGAAGGCTGAACGCGACCACATTCAGGTTGGTTAGCTAGGTTGGGGGACTTTTGCAGCTTTTTGCGTCTTTTCCCCGTAAGTTCAGTAAAGTTACTATCTGGCCTAGGTAGCTTTGTTTTCGGTGCTAAATAGATGAATCTATATCTTCTCCCTTGGGATCTGCTGTTAATGCAGGCCTATTACGATCACGTAGCTGTTTAGTCGGTCATCTTTCACCCAGCTGGCGGATCGTCATGACAAATTACGAAAACAAGTCAGCTGTTTGCAAACCACCTACACCTAAGTAGATTTGTTCCTGACTACTTTTAAGGGCAACAATAGAGCTACTGGTGAGTGAAAAGAATAATTTCCTGGTAAATTGACATATCCGTAGATTTCGTTTCTCACAGCATAAATACATGAAATGCCGTTTTTTGTACACGCACCTGTTACCTCAACACCTCCTTCCTTCCCTCACCCTAAATGTTTTTTTTTCTAAGTGAATTTTGAAATCTGTGACGTATCCTGCAAGAATAAAAAGGGGGCTTTCGTTTGAGTAAGTAGAAGTTGTTTTATACACATTTGGGCTGTATCATTGTCTAGTAGATAGATTTTAACTCTAGTCGTTTTGCCTTCAGCAAGCGAAAGAGTTCTACCGAGCAATAGCGTCTCCAGTCCACTACACGCACATAAGGTAGGTATAGTCTTCTGGGATCGAAGTGGTGTGCACCCTGGAAGCGTGGGGTGAATATGCTAGTTTGCTCCATGAATGCTGTGGTACGAAAGCCATTTCTTATCACAAACCAGTCAATTAGTCAGTTAACTAGCCATTCAACTACTGAATAATAGAAAAGGAAGGACAGTGAAGAACAGATAGGCAGTCTCCAAAGGCCATTGTCATCTCTTAGTGCATGCGGACGCGCACCGGCCTTGCCTCCACGTCTTTGTCTCCTCATTTGATGCAGGTATGAATGAATCGTCTCTTCATCACTCACGTTGAACAGTGCTGAAAGCTGTTCCTAGCATCTTTATCTCCACTTATTGAAACCAGTTATGACAATTCTTCAGCTTGGCAAATGCGGGGTCTCCCCTGCTTAACGTTACGCATCTACTCTCGAGTGAGTTACCACCAGAATCAAATAACTTGTCCGAGCCATGTAAATCTGGACACCACACCCCCAAATGCCCTGCTACCATTTGGGCGATAAGGTAGCCTCTCTAACTCTAAAGCCGAGTTAAATTCAACTCCGTAAAGCACCAGACAGGTCACATCGAAAACTGCACCAAATTTTTTAGTTGGCTGTTATGATGAATCTCTTTTCATTTCGGAATGTTTACAGTGTTCCGGCTTGAAATTTCGCATTTCGTACTTATTTATTTAATATTTGTGGGCTGCTTGTTCTCCTATTCGTTAAAACAACGCAGCCTAAGTTTTTTTTTAATTTTACCGTAGCAGCAGGGATGAATGAATATATTTGATGATTGCGCACGGATAGAGTCATCTCAGTTTTACCTCTACCTCCAGGGTACTTTTATAACCATTTGATGCTTTTTTTTGGATCGACGCAACGTTTCCGTCCTCTGCTCTATCACTAGATGTAATTATTGTTTTTTGGCGTTGAAGGTATTGCCTTAGCAGAAAGCAGCAGGTGGTTATTCGCAGATTGAACTGTTGTGTCGTTTTTTGTTATTTTTAATGCTACATTGGCCTGTAAGATTTAAACTGATCCGATAACCGTCTCTTGATGTGGTGATTATTTTGGGTGTTTTGGTCAGTACTCATCCAAAAGCAAGCCTGAATTTATATAGCCTGAAACTCTTCCGATCCTCGCAGATGCCTCTGATTTTTTTACTTCCTGTACTATCAAGTGATTTGGTTGGTGATGATGGACGTCTAAATTTGCACAATTTTCTACAATAAATTAATGGATCTTGATGCACTAGAGCGAAAAGAACCAAAGTTTTTGCACCATAAAATATGGAGTGGATTGAATTGATGTTAAATAAGTGGGTATTTGCAGTCCAACTGGCGTAGATGACAATTTAGCCTAAATTCATTATGTTTTGTCCTTCATTTGTGTGAACACGGATGCCATCGCAATTTCAACTGGAATAGTGAAAAAGGGAAACATCGGGAAAACGATCTCTTCAATGCGACGACATACGTACAACTGGAGCACGTTATTCGCCTTGGCGTCAATTTGTTGGTCTTTACCTTACAGTGGTTATCAGTACATTATAGAGTTAGTTTTCACGTAGTAATGGTCAATGAGGCCAACCCATCGGGAATGCAGGTAGAGGACTGTTCCGAACTGTTGAAGAATTAGAATTCCCGGAATGTCTTTCTGGAGTAGCAAGTATATCTAGCAAATTTTGATTTCTTTTCTCCATGGCTGAGATCTTTTCTTTGAATGATGAACTGGCAAACATTTTGAGATAACATTGTTTGAGACCAAATTATACTCCTTTCTTTCTCCTTCAGCAATTCATCGATACCTTCCGCTACAACGCAAAGCGCGCTTCGCTAGTCCAAAGTCGAGTCAAGGCCCTTGAACGAATGCCAAAGCTGGTGCCTCCCGAAAAATCCGTCGTGGTTATTTTCAAGTTTCCTGAGTGTGAAAAGCTTACCCTGCAACCTCTAGTTCAACTGGAGGGTGTCCACTTCCACTATTTGCCCGAAACGCCTCTACTCGAAGACGTGGACCTTACTGTTCTCTTCAGCTCCCGAATCTGCGTCGTACGCCGAAAAACCATGCTTCCGACCATAAATCAGTAGACATTCATCATCCAGACCCTCTAGTGGCCCGATCGAACAGGTGTTTGCCCCTTTCTAGGTAGGAGAGAACGGAGCTGGTAAGACCACCCTTCTTCGACTACTTCTGGGAGATTTGACACCCACAAAAGGACTTCGTCACTGTCATCGTTCCCTTCGAATGGCCTACTTTTCACAGCACCATGTAGATCAGCTCGATCTCAATGTCTCCAGTCTGGAATTTCTCATGAAGAAGTTTCCAGGCGAGACGGAACAGCGCTACCGCAGTCAATTGGCGTCTTTTGAAATCAGCGAACTTTTGGCTCAGCAACTAATTAAAAGTCTTTCTGGGGGACAGAAGTCTCGAGTCGCCTTCGCTGCTCTCTGCATGTTAAGGTAGTGGAAGAATACTCGGCTTCACTTAATAGATTTTAATGGCTAGTGTTTTTAAATTTTACTTTCTCATAAAGGCCTAACCTATTGATCCTGGACGAACCGACCAACCATCTAGACATTGAGACAATCAACGCACTGGCCGAATCGCTGAAAAATTTCAGTGGAGGCGTCGTTCTAGCCTCCCACGACGAGCGCCTAATTGCATCGGTGTGCACGGAATGTTGGGTATGCACCCGCTATTCTCCAAACGACAAAAATGACCCCTCGAGGGCCAGTCGTGTATCCGTTTTGGCTGGCGGACTAGAGGAATACAAAAAGGCTGTGCATAGGCAACTGGACGCTGGTGAGACAAGTCGATAGACGTTTTACCTTATATACGTTTCTTGTAATCATAGCATCAATACAATAAATGCCACATAGAAAGCGCCATTCTTGTAACAATCTTTTCCCTCGCAAGAGTTCAGTAGTTGTGGCATCTAATCAGTTAAAATAGAGGCTGTACAAGTAATGCAATGACGGGGTGGGTTTCCATGGGGCCTCAGAGTTTGGATCCACTTTTCCACTTTTCTCTATCCTCAAGCTTTGCCTCCGGTCGCAGTTGATTTCGCAAACCATGTAAGAGGTTTGCACCAACCTAAACAGGGGAAAAAGCATGACTTCATATTATGCTGGAATTAGCAAACACCGATAAATTGAACAAGCCAAATGAAATCCAGCCTCACCCGTAGCATTTGCAACCTATGAACGATAACACAAAAGATAGCTTGGAATAAATAATTTGCAATAATTCTCTTCATTCGTCAACCTCGCTCAGCGTTTGCTAAACGAGTTTTAGTAAAAAAGGTAACAATTAACAAGTGACAAAAGGAATAAAAGTCAAAACCAAAGGAACTCAAAGTATGGAACAACACAGGAAGAGTGACTAACTTGGGGCCAACATCAATGGAGGTTTTATTTGGCGTGCTTTCAACAAACTTAGCATCACGTCAATGGATCAGTTAGCGGACTTGCCACCCACAAAACAATCGAATAAAATTTGAGGTGCTAAATTGCCTTGTATTTAATCCCGAAGGACAGTCAACTGAGGCAAACTACAGGAATACGAAAACACCTAACACAAGATTTCCAGGATAACAAAGCACCAAATTGGGCTTCCAGTTAGTTGATTCAGTAGCCCACTAATTCATCAATAGAAAGCCAGGAAGATGCTTAGCGCCAAGGAACTATCACGCAAAAACCAATGAGCATGTGTGAACCCACCTCACAGCCAATGACGAAGGGAACGACCGTGGCTGGGGGAATTTGTCGTAGAACATCACCCAAGGCGCCGACGGAGCCTTTTTGGGGATCAGGATCGGCAAAGGAGGCCTTGAAGTCAGCGGCGAAGTGAGCAGCGTTGCGACGGATCGTTTGTACAGCGAGAGCCGCGCCTTCTCGCAGGTCGTTGGGCTGAGTGGTCGTTGCTGAAGTCAACTCGTCCCCGCTTTTAGACAAACCAATGTTTTTGGTGAAGTAAGAGGAAACAGAAGTATTTGTTTGTTTCACATGACCCAGACGGCGGTTGCGGATTGACGGACCGGGAGAGAGAACGTCGAAGACAGTCTAGAGTGGAAGTAGTTCGCGGGCACTTCTCACATAAAAACTAAGTTTTAGAACGAAGGCACTGTTGAAACTCACAAGTTTACCAATGCGCTTTATGCGTTTAAGCACGAAAGCAACAAACGAATATTCGGAATGCTCAAGTTGAACCGGGATTTTTAATTTTACACCATGAAAAAACGCTACCATCACTTGGTGGTAGACGCATACGTTCTGACCTCCCACGTCCAGACACCCTTAATCAAGGTGGGAGATAGCATTAGTGGCGTACGATGATAAACGAGGTCATATTGTGATGATCTGTCACTCAACCACCCTGTAGCAAGAAGCTTAAACGGTATCAACGACTCCGACAGACTCAGCAGTTATTCTCGTGAACGTTCAACAAGTAGAACACCTGACTAAAGCATAGTCTGTAGTGCAAATGCAGAAAAGACTAATCACGCTGGATACCAAGACAGCTTTCCGATTTCCAACAGCATAGATGATAAAGTAAATCAGTTTATCCTGGGCTAGATCAGCCGTACAGACAAAAGTTTCCGTTTCGAAGCTAATTTACTGATAATGACTAGCCACTGAGACAAATGCATAAAAGTAGTAGAGGAATTAGGAATAAATTAGAACCAGTTCGTGATCCTGGACCAACCTAAGCAATCAACGTGGGTTTTCCCAAACTTGTGTTGCTTCTACTCTGTCCCATTTGAAAGCCTTGAATGGCAAATGAAAACTGTGGAAAACCGACATTGCTAAACTTTTTCAAAATAACTACCGGATCTGCCAACGGCAAAGAGAGGTGGGTGAAAAAAAAAGATGGGCGGGGGGAGGGGAGAGATGAACGAAAGTTAAGATGTCTCATTTGTTCTACCAACTAGACGGAAAATGATTGACCAATGCGTCCTCTTGATTGGGTGAATATTAATCGTTTGAGTGTCACAACTTTTGCAATAAAAGCTATTTACTGCAAAATTTACACTGCGCGGCCTCAAAAAGGCACTGATTCAACCCCCAAAATATGTCAATTTGGCACCAAATTGTAGAAGGACTGCTTCTGAATCGATCAAACAGGCAAAAGTGAGGAGCATCAGTTCAAATTCAAAAAAAAATGTAAAAACTCGCTGTTTATCGCACCACCGATATCATCTCACCTCAAAAAGGCATTGGACGGTTCGAACGCCTTCAGTAGACAGCTCGACGATCGGCCAGACGGCGTTGTCCGAAAGAGCTCGGACGCCGCTTCGCAGACCCTGCACCACCTGATCTGCTGAGGGACGTGCTAACTGCTGACGACGCAGACACTGATTTCTATTCCGATGGAAGGATCGAAGTGGCGTTGCAAAAGCAGTCACCGAGTGAAGAACAAAGTCTCGTACCCCAACGACTACAAAAAAATCGGATGGAAATAGCCTTGACAGTGTGACTATTCCGGTGCGATTTTTGGTTCAAATGGACGAGTTTTCTCGGGAATATTCTTAAAAAGGCGAGCGGCGTACAAAATGCGCTCGCTAAAAATTATCACCCCTCAAGTTAACCCATTCTGTGGCGGTCTACCTTGTAGTAGCTGCAATTTCCACAAACCCAGCAAAACCTTATTCACTACCGAAATAGGAAGCATCCTCTCTATTATGCGAATTCGCCATGCCATCACTGTACCTGTTCTGCAAAGGGCTAGATTTGGTGGGAGGATCTGTGATGGCCAAAAGGGGGAAATAATTACAGTGGTGAGTTGTGGGCGAAACTCAGAAAATGGGGAAACCATCCAACCGAATGACATTTTTTTTCCAAACTCCGCATTTATCACTGCCGTTAGTTTCCTAACTATTCCGTAAATCGATAGTAAAATTATTTCTAAACTCTTCCGAGGTAACTTCGCCACTACGCTATCAACAACACAGGGTAGAAGACATAGGGATGTGATGTAAGTTGAAAATTTTGCGAGCATCCTTCAGTTTAGCATTAAAAACCAGTAGCTGAACCCCCCCCCCCACCTAACATCGCAGAATAAAAAAGCACTCAGAACTCATTGTGAAGGCTGTCAAGCGTTGGAAGATGCAAGACTTACGAATGCTCGAGATTTCATTCATCGGTCCAATACTGGTGGCCAAAATTTGTAGTAGATTATCGTGCAGAGTAGATGTCCAATGGGAAATGATTTCTTCGATAAGACTATAGACACCTCTATAGCCCCTCTGATACACCCATCGAGGAAGAACTAATTCTGCATTCTTTAACCGAAGGCACAATGCTAGTAGACCAATGAGAGGGCCCTGAAATCGCAAATAAGGTAGCATTACCAATTTTAAACATCGTTTCAAAGTATATACTGTTTTTTACTAACCTGAGACAGATCCAACTGATGTCCGTGATAGTTAAATCGTATAGGAAGAGAAGGAGTAAGAGTCAACCGCCTACGAATGTAAAAAAATAGTGAAGACATCTCATTAGAAAATCGATAAACTCATACTTGAAGAAAATAGGCTGGTCTTCATCTTCTGAGCTGGTGCTGGTAGGAGGGAGAAAGGATATGGATGCAGTTTCTCCATTTCCTTCGGCGGAACTGGAACGAACGCAAAAGAGACACACCCGCTTTTCCATGTCCTGCAGGTATCGCTCTGTCAATTGGGTGAGGGCTGTATGATGAGCACGCAAAAATACAAACATTGCCTAGAAATTTAGCGTAAAATTACATTACTGACAGCCCTAAATCCAGTAGCAATATTACATTAATCGTGGGGATCTACCTGATCCAGATTGATTTGAAGCGGTTGGATGGAGACTTTTACTTCAGCTTCGTAATCTGTGATCACAGGGGTGGAAGAGGGCCACATTAGTACAGTGGCTCTCACAGCTTCAATAAAACGACTGCCTTCTCTTGCTCGACCTTGTTGAACATGAAAAAGATGGTTGATCATCGATTGTGGCAAACCGTCCACAATCTTCAAATCCGTAATGCGTAGAGCATATCGTTCCACCGGATGATTTGAAATCGGGACGATGGAAAAAGGAGACCCGCTGAAGTTGGATATCTTTCTAGTTCTATGTCGAAATGGTTGATAGTCGGCGGGTGGATTGAATATGGATTTGCGAAAGTATACATTTGAAAGACGAAGGGTTGCATTCTGAAATAGGGAGATCAAGAGTAAAACCTCAATCTTTACTCACCTGATCATTCTGTCGACAGAAACTTGAAAGTGCACAAAGGTTGGGAATTGATAAAGACCGTCTAAGATTTTCTTCCACATCAGTGCCTAGGAGTAGACGCATACAGTTAGCCCGAGAATTTGAAGAATTCAAGGACGGTATTAATAAGTCAGCCCACCAGAACATAAAGAAGGAAAATCTAGACCTCCAAAGAAGGTCCACTCGACGGAAACGTCATAAATGGTGAAGGCAAATAGACTTTCGCTGCCAAAGGGATCTGAGAATAGTCCTTGTCGTTTGGGAATGGGAGTTAAACATTTGCTTTCCCCATAGAAGTCTTCGCAGATGTTTAGAATGGGAGAATAGGACATAACTTGAGTTCCATCCTTAAGAACTTTCACTGGCTGACGAGGGGGAGGCATTTCGGAGGACTCTTTAGCAATCACCACGAAATCTTCCTCGTTTTGGGTGATGGTTAAACACGAAAGGGGGGGACAATTTACTACGTCAACATCGGAGATGGCTGCCGAGATGAGGTTCTCAATTTTCGATCGTCTCGATGACTATAAAACGATCATTACTAGCCGACAAAAAATACACTCACCTCGTCACCAAGAGGGGGATTAATTAAAACGGGAAACTCAGAAGGTTTCCTTGGTGGTGGAGATTCAGGAGATCGGTTAAAACCCTCCAAAATTAGTCGAAGAGCAACCAAGCTGTCCAAGCAGGTCGTGAGTCGAATTAAGTTGATGGTCAGTCGAACATCCACGTGTGGGGAATGCGTCTACAAGTAACCGGAATATTCTGGGGAGCCTGTTGAAGGAGAAATGAGGGTAGAGATAAATTTACCCGCACCTGATTAGCGCCGTCACTGTCAACACCTTTAGAGACAAAACGCAGCTCCAAGTTGTCTAGATCGATAACCTTGACAGACCGGTGGATAATGGCGTTTAGATCGTCACCGAGAAGACATTTTAAAGCCTTAACCTCCCTCCATACGGCTTGCGATAGGCCATCCTGCTGTTCACCAGATGGCATCCGAAGCTTCTATAAACACAAATCAGAGAATTGATTCCATCTCTTGCACATGAACTCACCTGTGACTTCTTGGCCGAAATTACTGGCTGCGAAGGAGTCAACCACAAAGCTGTTCTCTCAAAAAACGCGATGTGACCAGTAGGCGTCACAAATTTCGAAAATGCCGTCACATTTTGCGCGAAAATCAACGGTCGAAGAGAGTCCAGACCGGGAGTAGGTGCTGGACTGATAGGAGAGGCTTCCATCCTTTCACCATCCACAATTCCATCAAAAGCGCAAACAGGAGGCATATGAAAAACAGAATTCTCCAAATGCCAGTGAATCTTGATGTTGTAAGAGGGACAAAAGAGGGAGGCGTACTCCATTGAAATTTGATCAACTTGTAATCCTGAAAATCGTTCCATCCAGGCGCGAAGACAAGGCCAGTAGCAGAGGCATCCCAGACGCAGTTTAAGTGCTACAGTAATATCGTTTGAATAGCTCGGAGCTAGAGGCTCTAGAAGAATTATCGATTACACTTTCAATCGAAGGTCTTACCAAGTGGACCATAGATAGGGATGGATCGTTTCTCCACAGCTAGGGATAACATGGGTTCAGCAGTATCATCGTTTGAGAGGGTAAGTGGGAGGAGCAGAGGTATGTGGGTTCTCGATTGGGTAGAGGAGTTATCGTTAGCGCCAGATTTGTTTTTTATTTCAGTGAAACCTAAAAGCAAATGAGACGAAGGACAGGCTGGAGAAAAGTTTTGCTATTCTGCAGATAATTCCATTCTGTCGCAATTTGGCAATCTGTGCTACCAATCTCCCTTATTGTGCCTTACGAGATGATACGGGATGCCATATTGATAGTGGCTATAAGCAAACCCAATCCGGGTGAAAAAATAATCATAATTTCATGACCTGGTTAGGAGGCCTAAACGGCACAGGAAAATGTCTGTTGTGGATGATTGATGATGCGGACGGAAACTGGAGCCCGACTGTAGATACTTATTGAGCAAGGTCGACCATATGTTCCTAGACATATATGTAACTATGAAAAACGACTGGAGCATAGGATGTGCTCGCTGTAAAACACCGTCCAGTCTTTAGCACGAATTCACAAGTCTATCCATTTTCGAAACGGTTGAAGTTACCAAGACAGCGATATTGAGGAATCTTAACCAAATTTATGGCAAGTACTACACCACTGCTAAAATAAAAAGCGTTCTTCCTATGACAACTTCATCGAAGAAGAGCCCCAGCTTCTGTATTTTCTACCACCACTTTCGTGGTATGATCTAGCGTCCACGACTATAGGCCCCCACCCATTCTGTGCTCTAGTAACAGTAAACATCCCATACTAGTATTCATTTTCGCCAAGTACCTGACACATGACCTTTAATTTGATCGCAAGTCAGCGTGACGTAGACCAGATCTGATTTTCCGCACGGATTAACCTCCGTTGTCATGGTAACAGAGCGAGATGCGAGGATGGCAGTCAAAGGGGTGGTGAAAGGTTTCTGCGAGGTGTCGAGGCGAATCTGAGCCTCCAAAGAATCAATGGAGATCGAGAAGAAGGAGGGATGAGACTGAAAGACTCGGCTAGGAGAATGGATGCCTTCAAATTCATACTGTTCCGTTAATTCTGGACTCAGTGGGGTAGTTAAGGCTGAAGGAGATAAAAACAAGAAAGCATTCTATTAGTAATTAATGTCTACCGATATAATGTCACAAGCAGACTTAATAACAAAATTCTACACTAAAAGAGTCAACACATTCTTTCTTGATTACCAAGGAAAACTGTGCGAGTCTCTCAATTGAACATCTTGTTGAGGTGGTTAGTCTCAAACAATTTAGTGAATAACTTTGAAGCTTCATCAGTGCAACGAGTTAAACATGAGATTTGCATAAAAAAATGAACAACTAGCCTGCAAATCGATTAATAAGGACACAAAGAAACCTCAGAGAGCATAAATCCTCGGCTCTATCTTCACACTGATGGAATGAAAATAAAATGTAGTGTATTGCATGAAAGATCGCATGGAAGCACATCAGTTAAAGTGAGCAGTCATGACAAAATGACGTTAAAAGCGGTAAATACTCACCAAAATACCAGCTCCACGATTTCATAAACAAAAACCTACCGTTGGCATCAGATTCTGTCGAAGAAGACTCGGTAGACTCGCCAAAACGAAGATCATCTGCGCGCTTTCTGTGTCGTTCTTCGGCAGCCAAAGCAGCCGATGGATGCGCGTAAATGCTTCCAATTGGGACAGGTTCAGTGTAGAACCAGTAACGATGATCAGAAACATTGAAAGGCGGCCGTAGGCCACCACCCACTAGTAGTACTGCTCGAGTTCGCCGTTTTGAAGGAAGCAGACTTTTCCACAGTGCCAGGTCAGTCAGTAGGCTTTGGGATGAGGGGAAAAAAGGATCTAGAGTTAATATACATCCCAACGCTGCTAGATGCCAGCAATCCAGATGTATGGATCGGAAATTGCTTCGTTGGGATAACCTCCCAATAAAGAGATTGTCTGGGACTTCATACTGCTTGAAACTCATTTCAGTTACCCACTTACCGAGTGTAGAGCAAAGCGAGGGCGCTTTCATTGGGAACCCTTAACAAGACATCCGGAATTGACAAGACCACGAGGTATTGTGATTGGTTAGAGGCTGCAACGTTGTAGGTTTTGAGATGTTCAGAATCACCGGGTAAAAGGGATTTCTAGACGAAAAAAAAGTTCAACCACTGATGCCTGGCTAATGACTACTAGTAGGGATAATGGAAACGACTCTTTGCAAAACGCTAGTCACATTTTTGTCCATTAATTGGGCGATTAATTCTTCCAAAAAGGCATAAATTTTGAAAGAGACTAAACATTTAGGCGTACCACTACATGCGGAGTTGCCAAAGTAAACACCCCTTAATATGTAAGAAATACGTAGGTTTCTTGGCACGAAGTTTGCCACTTTTTCAACAGTTTATTTAAACTAGTGAGTAGGCTATTTTAAAAGTTCAGCGAAAAAAGACGAGCTACCTAAGGAACATTCTCACACAGAAAGTTGGCCCATTGCTTAAGTGAGGAATTCGCCTCTGACCGGGGATGGCAGTCAAAAAAGAGACCACAGAAGGGAGCTGGACAATGACGAATGGAATAGGCGATATGAAAGTAACGTTTCTGTACAATCTCATCCGTCTACTCACTGTTTAATCGATTCACCTACCTCAAACTGAGGGTTCTTTCGATCATCTCAGGGTGTGTTGATGGCTCGAAGAAAGGAGTGATATGATTAGTTGAGGGGCTGGAGCTTTATTGTCCCATTATTGCTACCAGAAATTCAAAGACCTATCAGGACGATTCTCACAATGGTTTTAGTGATTTGTGCAAAATTAGTTAAATTTTATTATTCCCATCAAAGTGTTTCTCACAGTCTACCCAAAATAGTCGTCTTTTCGCAAGTGCTTCCCCAAAATGCCTGCTTATACCTATTGCTTACTACCATCTCCGATGATACAGTAAATAAGCCTTCATAGATTGCAAAGTTCTATTTTTTCCCATTGAGAACTACTCATCCAAATGGGTTAAAAGTGCAGGAGAGAAAGACTCACCTTATCCCACAAGTTCTGTAAATCCTCTCCCAAAAACATAGCTCTCCTAATGAAGGGACTTCGCTGACTTTGTGCTATGACATTCGCTATGAGTTCCTCTTCAATATCCTCGTTCTGAAAGGGTTCGACCGATAAGGGAAAAGAATCGTCATTAGGTCCGGGTGACATCGCCAACGACGACGACATCTGTTGTGACCCATCAGGTTGCGTTGCCATTGTGACATTCCCAGTTGAAACCGCGGCTAAATAATGAGAACGCGACTGAGATGTTACAGGGAGGCCACTGAGATACCGACGATCCTCTGGAGCAATGCGAACGAAGATACTGGGAGAAGGAAAAAATATTGGAACCAATAAAAAAGCGATGACTGCCGAGATGCAAAAAACATAAACAAATGAGCTTAAAATACACGTCTAAGATCCATAACACCAGTCTCGTGATATTGTCGGAGATACTAAAACGATTACTTCGGTGTTCCAGTAATTTTCGTTTATAAAGCAATCACATGACAGGACTCTAAATAAACTTACTAGTGGCAAAGATAATTTTGCTAGAATAAAGATCGAGTTGTTATTAATCAGGCTAGAAGTCTTCTGCTCCTCGAAGGAAGAAATTAAATAACTCGGAAAATCCAGTATCATTAAGTGGCAAGATTTCCAGCAAGAAATTTAAAACTGCCGTTTCCAGTCTATAATATCACTTTTTCATTGATTGGTATTGTTAAAACTGTTGGACTGACGTCCCAGTCAACTAAAATAGGATCCGTTTGTCCATTTGTGAAAGAATCAGCCTAAACAGCATTGGCAGCAATTAATCATCAAAAACAAGTTCAAAGCAAACACCACAAAATTGGCAAATCAGCACTGTCTAGTTATTGGCCGATATCATTCGTGCTCTAGCTTTTTTTATCACCGGGATGAATTAAGCTACACATACTCAAACCAGTCATTAAAAAATGCGACGCCGTCTAGTGTTGAACGATGCTTACTTTTGTCCGGTAAAATTTCGGAAAATACAAATTACCGCCTAGACAGAGGTCTCAAAGTACAATATATTAATCCATACCAACAAAATAAGGAGACAAACCTTGCAGCTCCCTGACTTGAAGTTTTTTTAAGAACTAGAAAGGACTTATTGTCGAATTCGGTCCCATTGAAAGATGCTATAAGCGAAAAAAGGGGCAAGTTGGTTAGCGATATGTAACGCTACATTACGAAATAGATTAAAATAGCTACAGCGAAACTGCCTACTGAAACCATAGATAATCATGTTGTCTGACTTCATTCCCCGTAATGCTTCGTTTGATTTGAACTGCATAAAAATACTAAGTTTAGAGGGCCTACCAGAAAATAATTAATTTCTGCTCTCAAGATTGACAATGACTAGAGGAATTCCAACCGAATTTTGGAATCCGCATCGAAAAAACCAATTATGAAGTAATGTACACAGCAGAAATACTTACATTCTTAAGCACTTTCTCTAATCCCAAATTTGTTACTTCATTCTTGGTCAACTAGCGACCGAAGATGAAAGAAGTAATGAAGAAATACGGAATGAATAAATTGGCAATCACTACCTTACTCTAATGGAGTCATCACAAATAAAATCGCACACAATCCATCCGTCAAGGGCGAATGCCGGCAAGGCCAAGTGAGAAAGTGGGTAATGATTTATCGTGGTTAAACGGCAGTTAAATTCATGCCAACTCCTTGTAAAACGCTAAGTAACGAGTAGATTCAATAGAATATAAATCTGATCAACGACTAGATTCCATGAAACATAATCGGTAAAAGATTGTCCAATGTTTTCAACCTGATCAAAATCTTTAGTTCAGAAATTTGACTAAGTAGCGTTAAGATTCACAAAATGACCTTTGTAGAGATCTTCAAATTTCACTGAATCGTAATTCAATGAGTGAATTATCACCAAGTAATGACATCTAATTGCCATCTTGATCAAACTAAAAATAAATGATGATTATTGAGCAATTGTGACTTTCTTTGAAGGAATCAAGTAAGAATTGACATTTACCAACGAGATCAGTGCCTATGAAGACACAAAATACGATCTTGTTGTCATGTTTTTTCTTTTATATCTAGCATTCATACTTCATGCATCAATCAAGTTTTTGCAAAGAATGCAGGAAAAATAAATTTTTGGCACAACATTCAAAGAATTTTGGGTTTTATTAATGTGGCCTTATTAGTTCCATTGGTGCAAGAAGGTCGCGGTAAATTGGAAACCTGTTTGGAGGAAGTGTCAAATCCTGATAACAAACTGCTATATTTTTCAAAGGAAAAGGTGTCTTTTCAAATGTCGAAAGAACCCTTCCTAGTGCATTCAAAAGGCACATACTTTCTGCGTAAACTTTAAGGGTCGTGATTAACAAACACCAGTTGAATAGACAAACCTTCAACTCAGAGCAAAATATGGAAATTAAAATTGTCTGTCGGAGAGCGAAAAATGTTTCACGAAAAAGTTCTGTTTGAAAAAAGGAAGGCTATCAAATCATTTAAGTGTTCATTTTCCAAAGTCAGAGACACAATATCCACCCGTTTGCTGGAGGTTAGAAGTGTTTTCACGCAACTGCACACCTTTTCCGCATCCTAATCAGCGCGTCTACACGAAACAATGGTATCAACCTTCAACGACTTAAAGGTTAAGTTGTGAGTCTCCTCCGACATAAGATTTAACAAATCAAATTCGATGCTTACCAAATCAAGCCATCCCCTGCCAAGATTCCACAATCCTTGGAGAAATCCATTGCTTTTTTGCTAACATTAGAGTCACTACCTTGCAAAAATAATTACAAATTTATGTAATCTAATCCTATTTCAAAAAATCATAATTATGAATCATTACCTGGGGGATTAACATTGCAAAATGAAACTACGCTTCAGCAAGATTGAAATCTTTTTCCCCTAACAAAAAACGCAATTTTTCCCATATAATAAAAACTACTTAATATAGCTGAATATGCAATACATTTATCTTAAGATGAAGATCTTATGAGTTTATTGTGAATAAATTTAGAGGCTCCTTTGATCTCGTTCCCTCCCTTCGTACACGCTTTTAGTCAGATGTTGGATCAAAATCACGTGCCAAGTCTAATGGAAGACCTTGGCAACGATTTTCCAATTTGCCCATTTGAGGCAACAAAAACCAAAGAGACTTAATCCCACTAAGCAATTTGTTGATCCATTTCCCCTTGATCAGGTAAATCGAAAGTCCGCTTTTTCGATCACAGTCGATGATTGCTTAGACAGCAATCACATGAGGCTTTCAAGAATCCGCTTCAGAGTCCTTTCTTCGGATAAATATGTGTAGCGCTCCGCATCCTTCATACCAGGATGGCTAATTTAGAACTTTTTAACCCACTCATGGACTACTTAGTACACATCTACGCAGTGAGTTTGCTCCTCTTTGGGACAATCATAATAAGATTTCTCAATTGCCGTCATCCTCGAGTGAAGCCCTGGCATTAAAGCGCAAAAGTAACGAGTGAAGTGTTCAATTAGGCGCTAAAAGCTCACAGAACCCTATTTGATGGATTTGATGGGAAGCCGAGTTCCAAGATGTGATATTTGAAATTTGAAATTTGAAATTAGACCGAGGATAATGTGAATGATCTGAAAGCAGGTGTGAAAGGAGGTAACATCCAAAATTATGAGACAACAGTCAACAACACCAAAGCAACGCAACTAATCCTTATCAGGATGAAACAAACTAACCTTCAAGTTGGGAAAACTTGATTCGATAAGTCATAACACCGGGTGGGTATCCCTGATTATTTCCAAAGTTTGCAACAAGACCAAACAAACGAATAGCCAGAGATTCCGAACGAAGACAAGGTTTCCACCACGCCAACGGGCATTCTTGTCTACTTGCAGTTTGGGCCCATAAACGCTTGCGCATTTGGTCCAAATCTTCACTGGGTAACTACAAGGAGGGCACAAAAGGTGAATGAGGCAATGATGATCGAAATTAATGTCGGTTGATGATTTGATCAAAAATGTTCAATAGGCTGTGAAAACCCATGAAAATAGCAATAAACTATAGTTATTTTTGCCAAATCCTAGAAATTATACGAAATCGCCTCTAATGGTTAGATTTTGGACCACAATTTTCCCGACTCATTTTCCCATTCCAACTTGTTATGATAGTAATGACGAAGCTTCGGATCACTACTCGAGGGATTTGATTAAAGACTAACAGACTTACCGAAGGCACAGATTCTAAGGGAATGGGAATCCGAACAACTGCGTGAAGAGAAGCACAGGCGATTTCAATTGGAGATGCACGAAAACTTCGACAATGATCGCTACAGAACGCACTACGGTAAGATTTTTGGTGGTTTCGGCCCAGGTTCTAAAAGACCCAAAATACTCCTACAGCAATCAGAGGAGGCATAACTGAAAGCAATAAAACCATCTAATAGATGTTTAATTCACCATATCCCACCCTTCCACTCCAAGCCATTTATGAATCCCAGAGCGGTCGTCATCCATCACCACAATATCTGCAGCTTCAGCGATGGCTCGCGAAATGATAGGAGAGATTTCCTGTACCGCTTCCAAAGCGTCAACAATTCTGTGAACACGATCAACTAGACTGGGATCCAAATCCAAAAGGATAGTGGCTACTTCCACATAATGAACGGTATCTGAACTGCGCAGACGGATGGCCGGAAGGGGGAGGTTGTCTGGCTCTGAGAAGGAGACGATCTGACGAAACAAAAAATATTGAAGAGAGATCTATTAAGCCATACTAAGTTAAAACGGCCAAATTTATCGTTCTCGTTTGGGAAAAAGGAAGGAGTGTTATCTCCTAAAGTACTTCAACGTGCCTCCTTTTTGGTAGCCTAGAACTGACTGACCTATAGTCCTGATTGCTTTAAAGAAATATGCATCTCACTATTCAAACACACATTTCCACAACAATTAGTGGTCTTTTTGCCAAGTAGAAAAGTGACTTTGGTTGAGGTGGAACAGTTTGGATAGCACATTCATCGGTTATCGCAACTCCACAGTAGATCTCATGTCAATGAGAACAAATATTTCTCGCACCGTTTCATTAGCACTTCCTATTTTGTGCATGGAAAATTAAGTAAAATTCACTTTTGCTATTGGAAAAGGGAGATTTACTACCAACACAATGCAAATGAGGTGCCAATCGACCCCAAGAACTCATTCAAAATCAATGGGCTGCTCAGTGGGGACAGACATGCTTTCAGGCTCTGCAAGACCACTCTCCGTATTGTTTCATCTGATGCCTTTTCGATGAATCATGTCTAATAGTCCCTTTTGCGTGGATAATTTTCGAGGTAAGGTGGGATACGGTAAGAACGAGAATGCGCCACGCCTGACTTCGGAAAGCCGCCCATTTTGTGCGCACAACATCAGTGAGTGATACTGCTGCCGCTGCTGTTAATGACTGGATGAAGAACAATGGCAACGTTTGCCTGCCTGCCTGTGTGTATGTGTGTTTCTTCGAGTGGAATTTTCGCTCCCTAATGCAATCGCACCCCAGCATGCAAGCACAGGACCCATAAAACCACTCGACTGTTGTTAGCACCCAACTTAATCGAGGTGATGCTCTGCCTACGCGCATACATACCTGCTTATCTGTCTGTATGGTTGCACCTGTCAAGCGTACCATCTACTGATGATTGCCTAAAGTGAGATTTTATTCTAACCTCTGGATGCGGATAAACCTAGCATCATATTTTCAAATTCCTGGAAGACCTCCTTCCATAAAAATTAAATTGTGTGCTTACGAATTTGATAGATAAATACCTTTCTAAATAATTTGATTAGTGGATGAAACTAAGAGATTTTGTAAAAGGATTCTTAAGTCAATGCTACAAAGTAGCCAATTGAATCAAACTTGTACGATGAATCGGATAGATGCTCGAGCTTTTAGTAAGATAATTTACCCATTAACATATGCGTGCAAAACGATTGTACATTTTTAGGGACTGTTCACGTTTAAAATTCGTAAAAAGGTGAAGTGACAATTGTTCCTAATTTTTCTACAGCTAGAGTTCTTTGGAAAGGAAACCTTTCATATACCAACCCAACTCATGTGTTGTCAGGAGGTGAAAGGAGCGTTTGATCATATAATAAATAGGCATCAGAGTGCTACGTCTTCAAAATTGAACTAGCTATTAATGGATCAAAAGGTTTGAGTGCAGAACTTTCCAGGCGTGCAGCCGATCACAGCAACAATAAAAGGAAGTTAGAAGCGAATTCAAGCTATGACCTACAATGGAGCAAAGGAGATTGCGTGAACGCTGAATGTGAGCAGTATATAATGGTCCGATTTTATGACAGTCATCATTCCAGAAGACAGAATCAATGAGTGGGTTTTAAAAAAGAAATATTGCACTTTTGAACGCAATTAAGGAAAAGTGGTTTTTACTGAAAAAAACTGGCGGCACTTAACTATAAAAATAAGGTCTGAAACTTTAGATTTCATCTGATGACAGTGTAAGAAAAATAAGTTCACTGACATAAAACTTTTCCGGAGAAAACTTGAGAGTACAGCAATAACGAGAGAGTTAAAAAGCAGGCAAAAACAGCACTCACCAATTCATGCATAAAATGGTCTTATCATTTCACATCACAACCCTTCCAGCGAGTGAGAACGCAGTCAGGCCATTCAACTATTTGCGCATTCACACTGCAATTTTATAACATCTCGCTTAACATACAAATAAAGCGGTGTCACGGGAGTGAGAAATCGTGCAAATGCAACAATGTCAGCTTTAATGTTGCTAAAGTACTGAATTCAGATGTTAAGAATGCCTGAACTTTAAAGCTTACGTATTTTATGCAATCTACCACTAAATTTATCGTTTTGCGTCGAAGAAAAGGGGCTCTTTCAGCAGAAAAAAGGCCAATCAAATAAACACTTTACTCTCTATAAAACCTCACGGACTTTTATCACGTCTAGATTTATTTATAAGACAAGTTTAGAAGTCACTACCACTGGTGTACGAATTCAAGAGCCAGAAGTGCCTGGAGTGAAATAGTCTAACTCAGCTCGTAAACAAACATGGGTTTTGCGAAAATCTAATACACTTTCCCACTTTACCATTAACAAGTTTATTTGTGATCCATTTATAAACTTATTTTTTGAGAAATCTTAGTGATTTTTCTTCCACGATAATATATTTGGAAGTCGTTATTTTGATGCAAGAAGTGAGAGAAATTGGAAATAGCAATAATTTTTATTTAACACATCACCTTTCGAAATAAGACAAATTTGTCCAAACTTGAACGAAAAGGGGAATGATTTTTGCAAGCACTTATGAGTTCAGATAAGCGACATCACAGACACGAAAAGAATTCTCCTCACCAAGTTAAAATTTTTACTTTCCTTCCCTCAAATCTCAGCTAAAAGTGAACAAATTCAAATACTCGCCTTGTAAGGTTTAATAGAGTAATTATTCCAAACTTCCATACTAAATATTTTAAAAGGTTTTATAAAGCAGAAAAGTCAAATAAGAAATAATTTGATAGAAAAAATGAATGATTAAAGTAGGATGGAAAGCCACGTACAGAGCCTGAAATCGCTTCGTTATTGGTTAATTCCCGGTAGCCAATGAAATTGTGCAAAAAGCAAACCGCAAACAGTAGTAATCGCAGATGTGCGCCCTAGGCAAACCTACAAATGCCATGAACCAACGCCTTGGGATCGTTCTTTTGATTACTAACAGCCTCCTTCTCTTCATTCTCCCTTTGGTAGTAGTACCTTTGAACACATCTCGTCAACACTTTACACTATGGAATCTCCATGGTGCTCAAAACTTTTATCCTTGTCAGTTTATCAGAGCCTCTTCTGATTCAGACAACGTCGATACTATTGAATGTGATCGAAAGGCTTCTGCCATCCTCGGAAACAGTATTCCAACAATTTACCCCGAGGGTCGAGTGGTTAAAGAAATACGCATTTTTGCAGAACGTCAACTCAGTAGAATTTCACGCAAGGCATTTGAAAGAGCCGGTGCCAACCTCCAGAAACTCGTCATCGAGGGAGGCGAAATACGAGTGATTAGGAGGGAAGCACTTCTGGGACTGACGGAGCTTCAAGTTCTTGAGATTCGAAATGCTCAAAGCGTGGAAAAACGGTGGTCTAACAACGGTTTAGCTGGACGGCTATTCACTGCTGATGGAGAACTGAAATACCTTAAGAAGCTGAAGCGTCTGGTTCTTGAAAACGTGGATTTAAGTGATGGACTAGTAGCGTATGCGTTCTACGACATAAGCCGACATTTAACGGAAGTTGAAATGATAGGTAATAATCTCGTAACAATCAATCCGTACACCTTTGAGAAGAGTGAATGTTGCAAATCCCTTCGACGACTACGCTTGGAGAGACAGAACGGGTACTTGAATTGGTTGAACAATGCCTACAGATGGGCGCGGGATTTGGGTGGAATAACCTTACTATCCTTAAGTGGCAATAATATGACCAATAAAACGCTCGACTTCGGTTACAGCCTGAACTCAAAGTTACGGGCATTAAAGATAGAAAATTGTTCTCTTATAGAATTATCAGAGAATCTTCTAAGCAATTTCAAAGCATTAGAAGAGATCTATGCCGGGGAGAACAGTTTTACAATCATCTCGGATCAGGAAGCCACCGAAACGCTACGAGGCTTGAGGAGGTTTACAAATCTTTCCAAACTAAGTTTACATGGAAACAGGGGTCTTATCTATAAACAACCGACATGGTTTCGGGCATCAAACATTAAGGAGTTAGACTACACTAAAAGTCTTCTGCGGCGGATAGGAGCTCGAGAGCTCCCAAAAGGGCTTCAACAACTCCATCTAGAATCCACATTCCTTGAAGAAATCGACCCAGAATGGGCTGCTGGAATGACTAGCTTTTCACATCTCTACCTCAACGCATCCTACCTTAAGACTGTAAAGATCAACGGGGTGGAAGGTAACTGGCAGGCAGCCTTAGAAGCCCTAAAGGATCAATTAAAAGTCCTTGGACTTTCTCGATGTCAAATCATCGGCCAGAGCCTACAACTCAACATGGATGACGAATTTCAAATAACCGGTTTACGTCTAGGCTTAAATCAGCTTCAAAGACTTGAACATCTCGACTTGTCTGGGAACTACATCACCCATATTCCACAGGACGCATTCCAGAATCTGTCCCAACTCATCAGCCTGAATCTCTCTAACAATCACCTTCAAACTCTCCTCATTCTGAAGCATGACGTGATAAGATCAACGAGTAGTCCATCAATTCAAGATCTAGATCTAACCAACAATGCTTTGAGCACTGTTTTAAGGTCCCCACCAAGTCTGGGATTCAATACCTCTTTGCAGAATCTTTTGGCAGATGGAGCTAAAGTGAAATTACGAGGAAATCCTCTAATCTGTGATTGCAGACTCCGTTGGTTAGCTGGGAAGAGGATCAGAGTTGACAATTTCACCTGCACGGGAAAGAATAGTATAGCCGGAAGTGGGTTTCAAAGAGTCACTGTGGAGGATCTTGAGAACGGAAATAACTGCATGGAAAGGGATTTTATTGGAATGCCGGATTCGACTTATCCTTTCAGACCTGTTCGTGTTTTTGGTTACGATAGGAATCTAGAGAAAGTTTACTTCGCAGTAAAGGGAAGGACGTTAAAGTCAGCTTGGAGTAACATTGCTAGAACAGCGCCTCAGCATCCAGCTTTTGCACTGCAAAAAGTCTTGGCGAAGCTAAGCAACATGACCCCAGAAATAATCTCAAGTCTGCAGGAGAGTTATCTCGTCTTTGAGGTAGCTTACTGGCCAGTTGGACAGATGAAAGAGTTACAAGGACCCCTAGAATGGCAGGTAGTGGAAGAGGGCTTGATGCGAACAGAAGGAAGGGAGTACATATTCTCCGTCCAGCCGATCGATGTGAAACGAGCTCACACCATCTGTTTTCGAAACGCTCTCGAACGCAGAAACACAGCCAGTTCCACCCTCTGTCAGATATTTCAACCCAGTGAACTAACAATGACCGCATCGGCAAATGTTTCGGTAAATAGGATGGATCATGTCCATGCACCCTTGTGGTTTGTTATTCTAGCAACAGCTGGTGCTGTAATCTTCATCACGTGTATCTTGTGGCTCTGTGTTCGATACATATGTTGTCGACGGAAAAGAATAGAAAGAAGGCAAAAAAGGGAGACGTCTTTCACGATGGCAAGTAACGAACCTCTTAGGTACACGGATTACGAGCTGCAAAAGGAGAGTACCTACGACAAGTTGGAAAACTATTGCATGGAAAACTCGTTGCCGAATTTGAACACGGTGGACGGACGTCCAGAGTTGCCGAAACGTGCAAAACGGTATAGAACCCTGACGCAGCCCTTGCAGACAGGAACAGGTTCGTTGGGAGATTTAACCGGAATGCAGTGCTATGTGCGGACGAAAGTGCAAACACATCAGTCTTTAGTAACTAGACGTTTGAATGAAAGGAATTCGACAGCAAAATTGCTATTGGCTGGTCCAAAACTGCCAAGACCGATAACCTATCAACATCCAAAAATTGTGCCGACACAACTGTTAATAGATGAGAATGGATATGTGAGGATGAACGTAGAAAGTGATGAACACTTTGAGACTGGGCCAGAGAAGAGAATAAGACGACAGGAAGAGAACGATGAGAAAATGATTGATTCCTACACACTTGGAGTATCCAGAGGTGCGTTAATGAGGCAGAAAAGTGCTCCGGCATATGCATCAACGGCTAGCACCCCTGGAGCCTGGACCTCTCCTGAACCACCCTTGTGATGAAGAGGGAGGGACTGACGAATTATCTTAAACATGTGCCATGAAACTCTTATCGAGGCACTTTGGAGGGCAGGGAACTGCTGATATTGTTTTCTGCAGACCTAACCTGGGATTTCGTAAAGAACAGTAAAGCAGAACAAATTGTTTTAAAGCTTTTTTTGTGAAAAGGATTCATCAATTCATTACGTACGTAAATGTTGCTGGAAAATAGTAGAAGTTGCTGGAAATTTAATAATCTAACCCTATTTATGTGTTATTATTCTCTTAATGAAAAGACTGCTTTAAGAATCGTTAAAAGAATTAGCATGTTTTCCGTTTTGTAAGGGGTCTGAAAAATCAGATTCAAGAAAAGTTCTGCTAATTACCCAACTCTAGTCAATTCAGCAAGTATTGGTTCATTAAAAAGTAGCTAAGTAATGGAGCACTAATTTAAGTCTGTGAAAGTAGATAACAGAGCCGTTTTAAGTTGATAGTATAGATTCTACATTAAACCTCCAAATTAAAAGAAAAGGCAAAATTTTGCAGTACAAAAACAGCAAAAAAATCATGCCACTTAGATTTTTGAACGCACTAACATATGGCAAATAGTAGACCGGAAACAACAGCGAAACAGATTGCGTTCAAGACCCAGGCTGGTTTCAAGTAGTTCGGAACAATAAAGAAAATCCAATCTACACACTTGCATTCCTAATCCTCGTAATCCGCTTTCCGAATTCCCTTCAACAGTCATTCATTTTCCGTGGCTCTTTTCCCATTTGTCGTAGTGTTGTGCATCCTTCATGCAAGCAGGACCGATTTTAAACCTCTCAACAAACTCAGAGACGGTGACACTTAAATGAGGGAAACCCTACCTACATGATAAACACAAATAAACGTTTATGGCGATTAATGAATTTCACAGAGAGCCAAATCATCAGGCCAGATCAGAGTGTAGTCAGACGGTGTTATCAATAAATGGAACTTAGACAAATCATAAATAGACTGTGCTTCACCACCTTAATGATGTAGTGGTACGCTTAAACGACGAAATTAATGAAATTAAAAATCTAGACCAACGGGCAGATGGAACATCAGCTATCGTAGCTTCAAAAACTACAAGATTTAAAAGTCACATTTATTAAAAACTAGCCAGCGCACAAACTAGGCCGGAGCGCCAACTAGATGCCATGAAATTAAGCACAAAAGGTTTCCATACATAAGTTTAAACAAAAAAGTAAAACTTCCGTATCATCTTTATAAAGATCTGGCATGGATTGAGGGGACACGTAAATCAATTAAAATTGCTGATAATGCCGCGGAATA